TTTAGTTTTCAACAAAAAAAAAAAAAAAGCTTTAAGCAACTTATTCATCCCTCTCCATATCAATAAATTGCTCATTCACAGAGCAATCATAGTATCAAAAATTTTGCAACTACTGGATTTTAGTAGAAGATTTTGCCCCACTGTAATGACGGTGAGACTAAAATAAGCTCTGGTTGGTAAACATATAGGAATATTCGCACAGGAGTTTGAAGCAGGGAGGATCAAGCCTATTTAAATTATTTTTAATACTAAATAATTAGACAGGGGGAATTTAGGCAACAAAGGGAAGGGAGGGTTGTATTAGGTTTAGGATTCTCCCTTACTCCAGCACTGCACCCTAACTATCCTCCTAGAAAATTATTCTGCTGTCCCCAGTCATCATACTCCCATATTCACGGCACACTCCTTCATCATTCTGATGACAGCCAAATCTAAAAAGATCACTGCAGAGGAATAAGAAAAGTGTATTCTGGAAATGAGTGGGCCACTTGTTATTTGGGTATGAAAATGCTGGAGGAATATGCTGATTTTGGCTGGGGTAGAGTTAATTGTCTTCACAGTGGCTAGTACAGGGGGATGGGTTTTGGATTTGTGCTGAACACAGAGTTGATAATAGAAATGTTTTTCTTATTACTGAGCAGTACTAACACAAAGCCAAGCCTTTTCTGCTTTTCGTACTGCCACGGTGGCGAGGAAATTTGGGGTGCATTGGACGTGTGTAAGAGACACAGCTGGGACAGGTGACCCAAACTGATCATAGGGATGTTGCAGACCATATGACATCATGCTCAGTATATAGACAAGGGGAAAGAAGGAAGAAGAGAGGATGTCTGGAGTGCTGGCCTTTGTCTTGCCAAGTAACTGCTACGCGTAATGGGGCCCTGCTCTCCTGGAGGTGACTGAACACCTGCCTGCCATGGGAAGCAGTGAATTAATTCTTGATTTGCTCTGCTTGCATGTGTGGCTTTTGCTTTCCCTATTAAACTGTCTTTATCTCAACCCATGAGTATTCTAGCTTTTACCCTTCCAATTCTCACTCCAAACCTAATGGTGGGGGAGTAACCGAGGGACTACGTGGGACTTGGTGGTTGGTTGGGGTTAAACCACAACAGGGGAAAAAATCAGTGCCTTGTGACAGAAAGAACTTCCCCTGGAAACATTTTGAAACTAAGAGGTATAATGTTTTTAACGGGTTCTAACTCTGATCAGCCTGATTTAACTCTGATTCTAAATAGCTCTGATGCTTAAAAATTTATAAAAAAAAAAAAAATTAATTTTTGTCATTTTGAAAAAGACTGTAATATTTTATTCTTTGCAAACAAAATAATTTGCTTCTACCATGCTAAACTATCTCACTATTAAACTCACAATATTGGTTATGTTTGTTAAATTGTATGCTTCGGGACCTTATCCTAAAATTCACAGCCAAAATAAAGTGCCTTTAACATATTGAACTGGATTTTTTCAACACTTCGCAGTGTAAAATGTTATGACAGTAAAGAAGTGAAATGAGAAATATAGTTCATTTCAGCTTATTTTCAGCAACAAAAGATGCTTTCATTGATATGTTCCTGTGGTATGTAACACTGCTGATTAAACTGTAGGTAGAAATCGGTTTTGTCAAACTTTTCTGACCATCTTTATCATAAGGAAACTGGGTCTTTAGCTCTTAAATGAAGTGTTGTCCATCACTTATGTGACTCTGTAAAAAATCATAATATAAATAAACTTACATTTCATAGATAAATTTATATTTGTTCAAAAATTTGTTCAAATACAGGCTTAAGATTTTCAAATTGTTGATGAATCAATCATAGGAGTAAAAGTGTCACAGTGCTAGGTCATGACGATTCTTCACTGCAATAATTACAACAATATTTCACTTTCTCTTTTAACAGGATAGGGACTCTGTCGAAAAGTTCTATAAATTTCCTTCTCAACATAGCATGATGATCACATATCTCAAATGTTAGTTAAAGTACTTGGCAGGACGGCTATGTAAATCACCTCCATTTGTTTTTAGTGCATTTTCCACATGTTCAAGAAGCAGTAAAAATATTTGTTGGTCATGCTAAGAAATCCTTAAGTAGATAAAATCAAAGCACAAGAACATAAGTCCTATCAAATTTGGGAGGGTAATCCAGTGGAAAATAAAGTCATTTACCTTGAATAGAAACTTGCTCAAATTATTCCCATAAACTGAAATGTCTCTTTTCTAGAATTTTCTTATGAAAAAAGAACATTACAAATAGCCCTGTTGGGTGTTTGTACACTATTTGTGGAATAAGGAGCTACTCATCTTGGTTAAAAAATTTGAGTCTGGACTTAAGCCAATGTGGCCCAGATTCTGCCATCCTTACCAGAGCTGAATAGTACCTTAAGTTGGGCCTGATTATGAACTGATTACTCAAGTTATGCTGAGCAGCTTTTTTTTTCGCATGAATGGGGGCATTGTGAATAAACATTTACAAGTGATTCACAATTTGGCCTATGTGAGTAGCCTAACTCCCATCAATGCATCTACTCATGGAGTAAAGCACTACTAAATAAAAGTGGCAGAATGTGACCCTGTTGTAGTACTTGACATCTAACATGAAGATACTTTTTCATTAGGTAAATGAAACGCTGCAACCAACAGGCTATCATTCATTCTTTGAGACAAGGCTGATGCAAGAGCATAACAAGCTTAATGCAGGCCTGCAACTTATCACACCTCAGGTTTAATGAGGGGTTGAATACCCATTTATTTAATGCATAAAATTATGCTAGCAACATGTAACAAATAATTTCTATTGCTGTATTTGAGGATGAAGAATTATTAGAATTGTTTCGCCTTCACTTAATTAAAATCAGCAGGAAAATAACATGGTCTTTTATTTTCCCCTTTGATTTTGGAGGCTTCAAGCATCTAAAAATGTTGTAATATTTTGAAAATGTAATCTGTCAATGCAATAAATGCCTAGGAATTGCTAGATTTTACTCCTAACACAAACCTTGTAAAAATTATTTTGGGGAAGCTGTCAGAAGAAAACAAAAGCAAATTCTGCTATGAAAATAAATAAGTAAATTGAAAGAGGCAACAATAAAAATGGTTTGGAGTTTTCCAGCTAAACTTTTGCTTCTCTATCCACTAATGGTGCTCTTAAAAATTATCTGGAAATCACTTTGGCATGTTTAAATACTATACCTTAAAAAATGATTACGTGGAAACTGGATAAAATAAAACATAAAAAAAACCCAAACATATTTTTCAACTGGAAAGAGTTAGACCTGCTAAAAAATCCCCTGTGTTTTCACCACTTTCATCCTTCTGCATGTGACACAATTATCTATCTAAAACTAATGTCTCTACCTTTACCAATAAAATTCTTTTTTCTGCTTTAAGTTATAAGACTCATTTTACTGCTGTCTAAACAGACCATAAAAAAGGGAAAAGATAAATTCTAGCCAGAAAACTCTTTTTCAGTTCCTCTGGTCAAAATCGAAGCTAATTTTTAAAAGGAGAAACAAATCAAGAAACCCCAAATTGGAGTATATGTATATGTTAAACTTTGAGTTTATTATTAGTGGCAAATAGGACAACCTTCCTTTCAGCTGTGTGAGAATCTGCTGTAAAAAAAAAATAATTCAACTCGTGGTTCAAAGTTAAGTTTGTTTATTCCTCTGATAGGCTGCCAAATGGATCCATCTCCAATTTTTGTTTCAAGTTTAGCCCCTCTAAGTGGCAGCAGAGAATATTTGGGGGTTCCTTTTTTTTTGTGAGTACTGGTAGTTCTGCAGTTTCTGTGAGGAAATGTGCTTCCTGGATCTTCCCTTCTTCCTCCATCCACCCTCTGTTCCTAACTAATGGTCAGAGAGAAAAGCAAGAAGTAACAGAGGGTACCTAGAGAGTTGTATCCTGTTCTAATCACAGCCATGCAAGTCCTTCTTTATTTCAATTAATTTGCTTGCCTTTATGAACCTGAGAGGTTGACTGTTCCTTTCAAAGAGGCTGACATTTCACTCATCTGAAAGAGCTTGGAATGTGACAAGGGGAAAGGGAGGAGAAGTAAATCAAAGCAGATAGCAATTCTCCAGATGTAAAGTATTTTTCTTCTCCTCTATTTTTTTTTCCACCAGAAATGTCAGAAAGTCTGCTGACATTTTAATTCCTTTGTGATAGCCTGGGACCTGAGAGCCAAATCCTTCTTCCACTGCGGTAGAAAAATTTTTTCCTGTATACTTTAAAGGGAGCAAATCAGTTTTATACTCTGCAAAACATATAAACAAAGTATCCACAAATGGTTACTAAAACTAAATGAAATGTTCTTTTATAATGTCTTAAGAGCCGTTACAAACTGAGACTGGCAAGCCTTGTTAGAGTTCTTTCATTTCAGTTCGACTATCATTAGCAAAACTCAGTAAGATGGACTGCACCGGAAATAAGACTTCACTGTTGTGGGTTTTTTCCCCAAATCTGGATTCTGTTGAAAGTGTAGCAATACTATTTCATGCTCTCTTTTAGTAACCAAAGTTTCATGACCCTATCTGTAACCTTAAAAATTTAATTTAAACACTAGTTGACTTAGATAATCTATGCATGTCTTTCAAAACTCTACTAACCTCTGTGATCCTGCTTTTACTGGTATATTTGACACACAAAAAAAAAATCTCATTATCTTTAATAGGAATACACTCAGGTCCATAAGATAAAGGATTACTTTCTATTCTTATTACATTAGTTGTTCATTGATATAAGTTTAACAAGCTCAACATGCATTTAGCAAAACAGCAGAGCTGACTTAGAGCAGCAACGCAGTGCTAAGAAAACTCAGTCTACAAATTCCACCTACAACATGAACGGTCATATATTTCCTTCTTTGCATGATGTGCTTAGAGATTTACATCATGGTTTGAGTATAATAAATTTATTATCCTTTACAGAGTTGTTCCCTTATGAAGTATTCATTTGTAAAGCATGAATTTTGTATACAGGACTGCTAAAAACCATGGAGTAGACATATTTGCTTAGTAGTTTTATTCTTTTTTGCAGGTTCTATAATCATATTTCATCAACTGGTACAACAAAACATACCTACATATAAAAACCAAAACAAAGAGGGCTTGTTGAGCTTGACGTATGGTAAATCTATTTGGTTTATTCTTGTTTTATTGTTAAATATTATATTGCATTTGTTTAAGCAGACATCGTGTATATTGTGATTTCTAGCATTCCACACACAGCAGCTTATTTTTTTTCCCTTTAAATATGGGAAATAAAAATGGTTCTAGTTTGCTATCAAAAAAAAGAAACTGAGAAAGGGTACTGCTATATTACATGGCCCAGGAAATATTGGCTGCATGCTCTTTGGCTTTCATCCGTAGAACTGCAATGCTGGAGGACCTCCTTTCAAACTCTGGCTTGGTTTCAAATGCATGTCCATTGGTTGCCCCAGAAAGTAATGAGTCAGTGAAAAAATTATTGAGGGGCACGTGGCTGAACTGATTCTGGTGGTTTGAAAAGCCTGTGTAGCCAGAATCTGTCCGGGGTGAATGGGAATAAGGTGTCATACAGGAGGACGTATCTCGTGGCAGCATGCAGGAAGTAACCACAGAACCGCTAGCCGCATTCCCTGCCCACAGATTGTTCTGAATCTGGAACATATAAAATTAATACAATTAAATTTAAGTAGTTCATCTTTTGTTTTCTGTAATGTTTGATTTCCTTTACTTCACATATTCATTATTAGTTCTCCTCTAAAACAAGAAACAAGTACTTAACCAATTCTCTGCAATCATGTTAGAAAATAGCATGAAGTGATCACGAGTCAAAATACTAAATTCTTCACTTTAGAGCAAGGGCTGATGAGTCATACTCCTTGCTCTGTCATCCATTTGCTCCATGGCTCCATATGTGATGTTTACCTTTGAACCTCAGGATGCCATCAGCCCATCCAATCAATAAACTTAGTGGAAGCACACAACTGACTTCAGAGAAAAGGTGTCAAAAGAGTGTAAAAGATCATAGCTGTTTTCACCATAAAAACTTCTCCTCATTAGAATTCTTACTGTAATGGTAGGAAAGAGTAGAAAAGGGTGAACAAAACAAACCATTTTGGATTTCTCAAGCGACAAAGCCCAACAAGTATTTACAAAATTTAATATTGAGAAGTCTTGCATAATTACTTTAAAACAAATTAAACCATAAAACACAGGAATGATTGATAATACATTCAAGAGTTTTGCTTCTTTTCTACATTCAAGAATTCAAAAGTTTTGAGATAAGATTTCTTTTCATTAGGTTTTTAGGCGAAATGATACTTTGAGGGCATTTCTGTTTCAGCTCTCAGCCTTAACAGGCTTCACTGTGCGTCCCTGGAAAATGTTGCATGACAGACTAGGACACAAACTTTGTGGTTACCAGCAATGCTTGGATTAACCATGTAGTCAAGCTTTGATGTATAATCCTTTCTATACTTGGCAGTCACTTAAAGCTTCATTCTGAGTCTCAGGCCTTCAATCGTCTATGTATAGATGCTATTTACGGATAGGTGTTTTTCACTTATTTGTTACTAGATAAAGAGATAGGAAGATTTTAAAGACCTAGTATAAGTCAGTTCTTGTCATTATCTCACACTGTGCAATTTTTTATTCCTGCCTTATTCATTTTGATTTAAGAAAACTTCATACTCAGCAGCTGGCCTTCTGTTCTTTAACACTCTCTACTCTCTATCTCTTTATGAGTAATACATGGATACGATATAATTTCTCACAAAGTCAAACTCCCTCAGTCATTTCTCACTTGCACACACCATTATACAATATACAGCTTTGTATGTCTTCTCCACTTTAACTTATATCTCTTTCCTGAACGCTGATTTTTTTTTAATGCACAAATAACATCATGCAAGACATTTTTAGCCCTCATTCACAGCACAGAACTTGTCAGCCAGTAACTATATCCTTTTATTTGTTTTACTTTGCTAAATTTGTCTTCGTCCTAAAAATCTGTTGTCTGTTCAGTATATCATTGCTCCGATGCACTGTGATTGAGCCCACATGTCGTTGTTCTCTGCTATGTGTTGAAGTAATTGCAGTTAATCTTCGGCTAGCACTGTAAAGTGAATTCCCACTTCAAACTTAATTTTACATTCATGTTCCAAATTCATAGACAAAGGAATTTTGACTTTAAGATATGAAGGTTATCTCTCTAGCTGACTGATTTTTTTCTGCCAAAGTAGAGGTCAGGGGAAGTAATGAATTATGACAGACACACACATACACACACAGAGAGAGAATGAAAACATGTTTCTAATGCTGATGAGTTGGATTTTTTTCCCCTTGTCCTATCACTTTGCAACAGCACATACTCACCAAACCACCAACAAACTAAAGTAATAAATTATGGTTCGCTGAACTCATCTAGCTGAGATCTACTGCAGATAGCAAGGATGAAACAGTCTTATTTTAAAAGTCAGTTTTAAATAGTTATATTAGCGAGGTCACCAGGAGCTGACAAACTAATTTGGGCTCCTTAGAAATTCCAACAGAAAAAAAGAACCAGTAAATGCACCATTTTTGTTTCTTGCAGAAGCCTCAGGAAAAGTCATGGTAGCAACACATTTCACCAAACTCCTGGTCTGCTCAACTCCTTGTTTACACAGACATTCATTTCTGCAGTCATACACACAATTCCACACACACTTGTGAATGGAGCTTGCTTTTTCACTCACAAACATACACATAGCTAGTTAGGTACATCTCAGGCATCTGCTCCTGTATATTTTAGGTGGTCTGCTGAGAAGTAAAGGAGTGAGAAAAGTGTCTGGGGAAGGATATAGAGGATTCTTCCTCTTTCTTGTCAGCCTCCTAAAATCTACATGAGGAAAGAGAATCTAATGAGAGTTTCAGAACTTTCCAGTTCCCTCTACCCTTAATCAGTTTTCAGAAGACTCTGAGACATCAGCCCATGGGAAACCCTCTGTATCTTGGCATGATCATCAGCTGCCTTATTACTCCTTAATTAAATTACCTGAGACAGTTTTGACTTATAATCAGACAAATTTACCCAGGGAGAGACTAGTTAATCTATGCAGTGTCTAATACAGGAGCTATTTTTGAAGGAGTTTATAGTCTCCAAAGTTAACTCATATGTGACAAAGTCTTATTTATCTGAAATTTCTTTCTAAGAAATGTTGTGCTGAAGGCTGCAGTCATCCAGACTGCACAGATATAATTATGGGAAAAATTTTCCCAAAAAATCTGTTTAAATAGGAACATGCACAAATTTGCCTTTAATACAGTCATGACGGGAAGACTTCAAAAGGTTTGGAGACTCAGTTTGAAAGTGCTCAATAACCTACGTGGTCTGGAGGAATCACAAAAACACTCTTTCCTTCCATATTTAGCAGTTTGGTTTACAGTAAACTAAATTTAGTACCATTAATTTTCTTGATATTTTTTCCTAGACAAATCTCTTTCAATCTAGCTTCAGTGAGATTGCACAGGTGTAAACGAGAACAGAATTCAGCTGCAAATCCTAAAATATGCCAATGTCTTGTTAAGGAAATATGTGAACCAACTATTAATTCCTAAAACTTTCAAAGGGTTGTCCTAGGTTTCTTCCTTAGAGGTAGGAATCCAAGTTAGTAAACTTAACTTCAGGAATACCATAGGATGCTAGAAAAGTTTTACATGAGGCAATTATATTTTCCAAAAGAATGTTTCAGTCATATAAATTTTCTATTCATTTTAGTTGGTAGAGTGACTTCACTTTTTATATTAGATTTTTATTTCTTAACAAGAAATAACAACATAAATATCTTGTAGTGAAATTTAGGTGCAGAAGGTATTCCCGTATTAAAAATAAATACAGTAGTGTTTCACAATAAGTTAAAATTATGAAATCTTCTTTTGGTATGTTAGCAGGAAAAGGGACATTATGTACATAAATTTAAAGAAAATATTTTTCCTCTTAAAATCTTGTGTGATCCATGAACTATATAAAAGGCAATTCAGAGACTGTGAATGAGGCTATACATACAGCACATCTCTGGTTTCTTTTAACATCACAAACAACTTGAGCTTTGCTCTTGTGGTTACCATGAAATTACCAGAGCCCTTCGATATATTTACCTACTGTATGTTTTATACACACATACACGTGCACACACACCCTTCCTGATAGAAAAAGAAATAGGATTTCATAGCTCTGACAAGAACATAAGGGAGAGTTATGGTTGTTAACACAGCTATGATATCATTTCCTAAGCACATGACCTTCTGCTTGACACTTCAGAGGAAAACAAGCTGAGGTAATTGGTCATCCCACTTAGTGTCATTGCTTTTTTCTGTTAAACTTTCAAGCTCCTTGAGCTTCAGCCTTTTTACACAGCACCTGGAGAAATCACATAAACTCAAGTCTCAAAATTTTCTGAGTTTTACTGTCAGGTTCTCCCATCAACAAATCTCTTCACTCGTTATTTGAGTCACCTGCCTATCCAGACTGGAGTCTGTTTCCAGCATACACACATATGAGCACACTACTTCTAGTTGAGTAGACACATATTTTAGTCTTCACATGGGAAACAAAATTCTTATTTCTTTTAATGTCACTGGGTATTAATAAATTATAATTGTTATTATTATATTACATAATAAATGTTATGTATGTTAATTATGTTACTATAATTATGTTACTATAATTTCTCTAATAAGTAATTAGAAACTACACATTTTCTCTGTTTTCATGATGTTCCTGGACACAGCAAGGAAAACAAGAGCAGCACTAACTTAACAGTTAAGAATTTACATAATTACATAAAACTTGAATAACAGACTGATTTGCTAAATTTTTGTCAGTCCTCTTCTTGTATGAAACAACAGTACTTTCACTGCCAGAAAACATCAAACCTGTGGTAGCACAAGGAGGCACTTTAGGCAAATTAAATGCAATAGCTCTCAAACTGCTCAAAACTGCTAGTTCACAATTCATTCAGCTATTAGTTGTTCCTAGTCCATCAGCACAATTAATCTGGTGTCACTTCCACTTTTTTTTTCTGAGGTCCTCTTAAGAACATCCAAAATATGGGTAGAGATCTGCTTGTACTTCCCAAGTTTATATATTCTCAGAAGAATTTAGACTGAAAAGAACTTCTGGGATTATTATTCCAAACCCTTGCTTGCAGCTAACCTTGAATTTAGATAAGGTTACCCAAGCCCTATCCAACCATGTTTTGAGTAGCTCCAGCTACAGTTTTTCATTAATTTCTATGGGCAATTTGCTCCAAAGCTTTACCACTCTCATTGTACTTTTTTTATTTACATCTAGACAGAATATTTCTTGGTTTAATTTTGTAGGAGCTCTTGGACCTACTGAACACGTGAAGATCAGCTGTACTGTGTTGGGTCATAAGAGAGAGCTGCAGCACACTGTTCTCAGATATGTGCATAAAATGCTACTTGGTCCATGGTAGTGAGAGACTTTATAATACAGCTGTAAAATATGTGGTAGACCCATTCAGTCCATACATTTACATTTGGTGAACAAAATAAAAATCTGGTCATTTGATTCCATGCTTAAACAAGCTTGTTAAGCTGAAAAATAGTGTAGGATTTGAAAAGTCATCAAGCTTTCATTCTTGTACGGAATGCTT